GGGATAAAGTAAACTTTGAATACATGGAATTTTGCGAAATATTCTTCAAGCTGATTCTTTCCCATGTATGGAGTTATGAAATATGCAAAGTTTAGAGACAGACAAGACCAAATCATGTGCATAGTTTTGATGGGGACAATTGTGCTTTCATACTTTGTTTTCTCACATATATGTTTGGCAACTTGAAAGAAGGGCTATATATAATTTAAGACAGGTAAATGAGACAATAGCTAGCACAAATAGAAGAGCTTAAGCACATTCAGATAGCTGCAATTCCAAAGCTTCACTGGGATTTGCCCTGTGAAGCTGTTAGATGAGAGATCAAGGGACGTAATGAACTCAATGATTTTATCAATATCAATAGGAAGAGGTCCATTGAGCATGTTGCTTGAAAGATCTAGGCATGTTAACCATATACAGTTAGCTAACCCCCTGTGGAAATTGGCGACAATTACAAGTCATGCTAGGTAGATCACATTATTAGACTATATTGTAAATCACGTCTCTAATAGGGATGGAGCCCACTAATACAATGGATCTCACCTCTATTAAAAAGGTGGTTTACAAAGTGGTCTACAGATGCGGTCTCCCTAGCATTTCCCATATTATTATGTAGGATTGTTGTGGGTGTGCTGAGTCATTTGTGGGTGAGCAATTCTGCTGGAACTGGGTGTATTGTTATCACTCATCAGGCCCATTTGGAGGCCATTCCTTTAGTCATTTGTGGGTGAGCAATTCTGCTGGAAATTAGAAACATAATTTTGTGTAATCAATATTATATAGAAAGAAACAGATGAATAAACCGAACTAATCATCATCATCATATGTAAATTACTGTCTTGATGTCCCGTGATACACACGATGAGTCTTGTCTCTCTCGCTCCTCACGTGATGACTTGAAAAACACTCTCTAGGCCAAGCTCTGGTGTCTTCTGAAAAATTGCCTAGTACAAAAACAAGTCTTCTTGTGGAAAATAATTGTGCAACTTGTTTTGCGATTTAATTCATGTTCTGTCCTTTGGGAATTTGTCCAAAGCATCTACAAAAGGAAGCTCGGACTAAGTCGAACCACAAAAATAAAAAAATAAAAAATAGACATTAGATATAACAATCTTTACTAATTAACTAATTAGAATTTGAGATATAAAGTATTTCTGTTTGGGTTTTAATACCTAGGAATCCAATTTTGTTTTGGATTTGACTAAAGAGAAGTCCCAAATTCATTGGGCCTGTCTAAATTAGAAAGGTAAAATATATTTTACCCTTTTTGTTTAAAAGCCTGTCCAAAATCAGATCTCATCCTTCCCCTCTCTCGATTGGAAAACAGGGCAGCCACATTCCCAATTTCACATCGACTTTCCGTCGCCATAACAACCTTATCTCGTCATCGTTCCTAATGGTTGGCTTTGTATTTTTAAAACACTACATAGTTTACTAATTTGGATTTTAAAATAAAAACAATTTAGATATCAATGATGTGAACAAAAACAAAAAAATGCAAAACAAAACAAAACAAAAACAAAAGCAGCAAAAAAAACAAAAACAAAAACTAATTTATGTAGAAACAAAAACTGCACTGTAGAGTATGGGGAAAAAATAAACATATTAATAAGTGGTGTGATTCTAATAAAACCATACAGCGAAAAGGTTCAAAAGGGAGAAATCTTTCAGTAAACAATTTTTGTCATGACTCGTGCTAAAGGTTTCTCTTTCAAAAACTTCTTCAAGCTTTAATTGGGTAATGACGAACACCCTCATGACCTCATTGGATACAAAGCCTTAAAGATAAACTTCGAATACATGCAATTTTGCGAAATATTCTTCTCCGATTCTTTCCTGTGCATGTATGCTATTTTGAATCTTATGAAATATAAAAAAGTAAATTATACTACGAAAACTTATGATTAGGAAAGCTCAGCGAATCTTTACTTCCTATTTAACTCTTCCTTTGGGTAACTTTATTTAGGTCCCATTGGATAACTGTTACTACTATGTTTTAAATATTATAAACTTTTCTATTCGTATTAATGAAATTTAACCATATCATTTAGCAAAAAAAATTGTATATAATTTCCATAACAAATTAATATATAGGAACTTTTAAGATGTGTAGTGGAGGCAATAAACGTGAGCCTATTTGGGGACATTAAGACCCACTATATGGAAACAAACATAGCACGATTTGCAAATATTGTGGTACTAAATTTTCATAAATAAAATATTATGTGTATTTAATCTTCTTTCATTACTTACTATATATTTTCTAAACTCACAGTGTTTGTGAGTTTGCTATATAATCAACTTAAATCACTTTCATGACCTCGTTGGATACAAGGCCTTAAAGATAAACTTCGAATACATGCAATTTTGCGAAATATTCTTCTCCGATTCTTTCCTGTGCATGTACGCTATTTTGAATCTTATGAAATATAAAAAAGTAAATTATACTACGAAAACTTATGATTAGGAAAGTTTAGGGATAGGCAAAACCATGGACCAAAATATCGATATTTTAAACCATATTTGTGAGAGCATGTTTTAAAAAAAAACCTATATAAATTCTTATTCATACTACATATAAATTATTTATTAATATGAATTTTTTTTAATTAAATATTTATTGTGAAGACTTATATGTTATTAAATCTTAAGCCTAGTATGAGATTATTCCTTTAGTTGAAAGATGACACCATTTTTGTTTTCCACGTGTAGAGACTTGGAATTGGTTTTAATCAAATCATCATTGCCATGCCACCTTGCATGCTATTAACAAGTGGTGTTGTGATATCATTGGCCAAACGGAGATGAGTCACATTATTCTAATCATCATTGCCATGCCACCTTGCATGCTAGTAATAAGTGGTGTTGCAATATTTCGTACTTATCATTGTGAGTGGGTTATGAATATTCTTTACTTCCAAATCAAGGCGTGACAATATTTCGCCAAAATTATTGTTTTTTTGAAAGGGGGATATTTTGGAACATTCCTGAAGCTTTGGCGCACTCGAGGGTTTCGAACCCCTATCATTTCCAACTTTGTTTGAGCGCCTTATCCACCACGTTGCTGGTTATTTAGTGGTTACATGCTACACCATGTAATATTTATATTGTCTCTACAATTTGTTTTTCAAAGAAATAGAATTTCAGATGACTTTATTTAGGTTTTATTATCCCCTATTATTACTTAATTACTTAAATACCTATAATCATTTTCTTTACTTCCTTTTTTTTTTTTTGAAAATTAGCGACTCTTTACTTCCTATTTAACTCTTCCTTTGGGTAACTTTATTTAGGTTTCATTGGATAACTGTTACTACTATGTTTTAAATATTATAAACCTTTCTATTCGTCTTAATGAAATTTAACCATCGTTTAGCAAAAAAAAAATGTACATAATTTCCATAACAAATTAATATAGGAACTTTTAAGATGTCTAGTGGAGGCAATAAATGATAGCCTATTTGGGGACATTAAGACCCACTACATGGAAACAAACATAGCACGATTTGCAAATATTGTGGTACTAAATTTTCATAAATAAAATATTATAGTGTATTTAATCTGCTTTCATTACTTACTATATATTTTCTAAACTCACAGTGTTTGTGAGTTTGCTATATAATCAACTTAAATCACTCAAACCCAAAATGCAATATATTTCCTTCTAATTTTTTTGTGATAAAATCATAGAGAATTGATTAAATAAACATCCTCTAAAGTTTCAATAAAAAATTTCAAGTTTTTCTCACAATTTTCCTGGTTTTTATACAATTTTTACCGATATTGATATTTTTCAGATATTTCCATCGAAATTGTGCTTTCATACCTTTTTTCTTTTTGTTTTGGAAAGAGAATATTTCATTCAAGACAAACACAAGCCAAAGATTACAAATCAATCTAAGACCCCAACAGTCAACTTGAAGTAAAACCAATCAGTCAACTTGAACAAGGGTTGTGCGCTATCATACTTTGTTTCACCACACATACGTGTTTGGTTATACTGAGTGAAGTAAAACCAATCAATCACCTTGAAAGAAGGGCTCTCTCTTTTTAATACTTAACTAGCAAAAGAGCCCGCGCGATACTGCGGGTTTTGAAATTACGTAAACAAAATAAGATTATTTATATATACAATGAAATTTAACTTAAGCTGCTATATAACTACACTGTTTGGCTTCAAAACCATAACAGAACTAATTGGCTTCTTTTGACATGGGCATCAGAAGGCTCCCACAGAGCCACGGAGTTTGCATAACTGTCAGCTGAGCATCGTCACCGGAGTTTGCTTGACAGTAAATATTTGAAGCCTATCGATCAAATTGGTTGTTGTCAAGCTTAAGCACACACATTGCTAGAGTTGCTTACTTTGCCTACTCCCTTGAAGACGCTCGTGAGATATTTAAACCCACTCAAAGGGACTTCAATTTTGGCCAATACCAAGGTTTTTGAGTGGGGACAACAGCCTCTACTGAGGCACTGGCCAAGTCCAGTGTTACTACAAAACTGTTAAACATTAATGCAGTGGAGATTTTTACAAGCTAGCAGAATTTTCTAGAATAATTTAGAATGCAAAGTTGGTGGTTGTATTCCCTAAACACTAGTCAATTGAAGCTAGTAGAAAGCTCTAGTAGAAACTACAATATGTAGCTGAAAAAAGACTTTGGATAAGTCGGTTACTGTCCAACCGACTTGTCCAAGCAAAGATGTAAATATGCTAGCAAGCCCACTTATGTAATCAAGTAAGAAAAGCTGAAAACTACCAGCTGCCTTGTACCCAACTAAGTCTCTAAAGCTTTGTAACTTCCTCCTCCATTCAAATAAAATTACCTTGTTACTCTTTCAAAAAGTTTTCTATTCCACATCAAGCTATTGTCCTAAACACTAAACCAACTATTCTCTAAACCTCTTCTCCCTTAAACTAACAAAAACGGACGGACACTAAAAATTTATGTAAGTTGATTGATTGGTTTATTTATTGCCCTTCAATTTTCACTATAAATCCTGCAGATGTGGTTGGCTTCTGCACACAGAAATGGATAAGAGAGAAAAAGCTCACTGTCTGGTTTTGTTCTATCCAATCCAAGGCCACATTAATCCCATGCTCCAATTCTCCAAGCGTTTACAGCACAAAGGACTCAAAGTCACATTGGTCACTACCCACTCTGTTCACAAGGCCATGCATGGAGGAGCAGGAGAACAATCACCATCATCATTCTTTTCCATTGCACTGGAGACCATTTCTGATGGCTTTGATGAAGAAGGTGGGAGTGCCAAACCAGAGAGCATCCAGGCCTACTGGGACCGTTTTCGGGAAATCGGCTCACAGACTTTGGCTGAGCTCATTGACAAGCTTTCTGTGTCAGGCCACCCTGCTGATTGTATAGTTTATGATCAAATTTTGCCTTGGGCTCTTGATGTGGCCAAAAGGGTTGGGATTGCTGGGGCCGCTTTCTTCACTGTATCTTGTGCTGTTACCAACATATACTCTTTTGTCCATAAAGGGAGGCTCAAACTTCCTCTCAATCCTGACTCTGAGATTTTGCTGCCTGGATTGCCACCTCTTCAACCTTCAGACACCCCATCTTTCATCTATGTTCCTGAATCTTACCCTGCTTTCCTCAAACTGTCTGTCGATCTGTTCTCTAATCTTGACAAAGCTGATTGGGTATTCTGCAACACATTTTATGAGCTGGAACAAGAGGTAAACAAAATTCAGATGGTTTTCGTGTTTTTCTGTTCCAAAGTAATTCATTCCCTTGCCAGGAGAGACGCGCCAACAATACTGCTAGAGTCACCAAATTAATTATCTGTCACTATATGCATCACTACCTTGCGAAATTAAGGGCTATGACAATCTTATGAATTATGTGAAATCTCCAAATATTAATTAATGATTTTGACCTTATGATTCAACTTTTACGATAACACTGCTGTTTTATTTCTCTCCTCTTATGCATAGGTGGTAGATTGTATGATAAAGTTTTGGCCGTTGAGGACGATTGGACCAACCATACCATCTATGTACATGGATAAGCGTTATGAAGACAACAAGGAATATGGTCTCAGCCTCTTAAAGCCAAACAGTGATGGCTGCTTGAAATGGTTAAATGCAAAGCCAACAGGGTCTGTAGCATACATTTCTTTTGGCAGTGTAGCAGGACTTGGAGAAGAGCAAATGGAGGAACTGGGTTTGGGTTTGAGGAGAAGCAAAAGCTATTTCTTGTGGGTGGTGAGGGCATCAGAATCAGCTAAGCTGCCTAAAGGGTTTGCAGAGGAGACATCTGAGAAGGGTTTGGTGGTTTCATGGTGCCCTCAATTGGAAATTTTGGCACATGAGGCTGTAGGATGCTTTGTCACACACTGTGGTTGGAACTCTACATTGGAGGCCTTTGCTAAAACATAGAGAATATTGAGAGTAGAGAGTGGAAAGTGTAGAGAGAATGAGAGTTGTAGAATATTTTCTGATTTTTCACTTATGTTTCATTACTTACAATCAACACATATATATACAAGTTCCTAAGACATTAGTCAAGCCCCCCAAGTTAGGCAACCAACCAAGTTAGGCAACCAAACTAATTAGGCAACCAAACTAGTCAAGCCCCCCAAATATTGTAGGTGTCAAACATTAATTGACTACATAATTAACACATTAATTTACTACATAATTAACACATTAATTGACTATTGCTAACACTCCCCCTCAAGTTGGTGCATAGATATCATCAATGACCAACTTGCCAAAAGAGAGACTGTCGTTATTAATATTTCCGCATCAAGCTTCTTCTTAATAGAATGTCGATCCACTTCAACATGCCCCCTCACGTGGGACCACTACATGGTGGGCCACACGTGGAGCAAAGGCCACATCGAAGTTAATCATTTCGGTCTGTCGGTGGCAACACCAAATCCAAGTGCAGCCAGTTGGTCGGTAGATCACATAAACCATGCGAACAAGGCAAAGGCAAAGCAAAGAACACAGAAACCCTGTGAACACGGTAAGAACACAGAAACCCTGTGAACACAGCAAAGGTAAGGTATAGGACACAGAAACCCTGTGAACACGGCAAGGACACAACCAAACCCTAAAATAGGGAAAGGCACGTCAAGGTAAAACCAAACCCTAAAAAGAAAGGGTAAGGCAAGGTAAGGCAAATAAAGGCCAAGCAAAGGCAAGGTGGCAAGGCATGGCAAAGAAAGCCCAGATAAGGCAACAAAACCCTAAAGATAAGGTAAGGCATGACAAAGGTAAGGGCAAGGAAAACCAAACCCAAGCAAAGGCAAAGGCAACCAAACCCTAAAAAATAGGGTAAGGCAAGGTAAAGAAAGTCAAGAGCAAAGGCAAGGTCAACGGGCGTGACACAGCGGAAACACACCAGCAAAGGCAAGAACACGGTAGAAGCAACAACAACACTGTCCTCAACAAGAGACAACAACACTGGCAGCAGCAAGAGCAACACTGGTACCAGCAAGAGCAATATAAGGCACTGGCACCAGCAAGACAAGGCAGGGCAAAC